TACCGCTCTTAAAATTTTCTTATTTAATCACAGCTTTTGGCTTTTCCTCACAACTCTGGTCAACTCCAGTATGAATTTGAATTCCTTGAGTACTTAGGTTGAATATTCCTGATAAAAACTGTATTACTCTCTCAATAAGAAGCTCCTGCTTTTTAGAATCAACAAACTGTTGTGATGGCTTCTGAGCCTTTACTTGGTTAGTCAAACTTACTGCAGCAAGAACAGAAGTTGGGCTTTTGCAAGTTTGGTTAGGTCTGGTCTCCTGCTGTGAGGTTAGGGTGCACCTGTGATTTCTGCCATTCAAAGATTCTTTTGCTGGGTTAGGCAGAGGCTTTGCCTTCTGTGCTCTGTTGGGCGGAACTTGTTGCTCAACTTGAATCTTGAGCAACATTGACTTCCCAGTGAATTCCTTTCCTACAGCGGGGGCAAAGTTCAGGTTCTTTTAAACCCAAATTCGGTGAGCCTGGCCCATGCTCAGACGCAGGCCGCAGCTCGCTCTCTGTGGCCAGGGTGATTGTCCAGCACTGCCTATACTCTCTTTGAAGATGACCTGTCTTTCTGCAACTAAAGCGCTTTCTTCTTGGTCTGGTGTAATTTTCCAAGGCAGCTGTCATGAAGTTGGCCTTGTATTCCTCTGTCGACATGCCTGCATATTCTGAGATAATCTAACAGTATGCCCTGTTCCCTGTAGGGAAGCAAGGCATTTTTACAGTGTTTATTATAGAAATCATAAGATAGCATATGTAGTAGGTCTCTTACTGCCTGGACATTTTTTACACATTTGGAAATAGAATTTTCCAATCGGGATACAAAATCAGCTTAGGATAATTCGCATCCCTTAGCACTTGATGAATTCCTATATCTATCCCATCCTCAGCATTCTTCTGAGCTTGTGAATGGGCTGTAAAATCCCACCACATACAATATTCTAAGAATTCTGAAGGGTAAAGACACATTTTTGCCAGGACTCTCTAGTCACTAGGGGTTGAGCTCTCAGATTCTGCTAAAACCCTTATCATGCTAATTACAAAATGTGAGTCTGGGTCATAATCATTGACTGCTTGCTTGAGATCTTTTAGCAACACAAAGGGAAAGGCACTGTGAATTCCTTGTGGGTATTTCCGGCTAGGCTGTCTGTTAGCAACTCTTAACAGGATAAGACATTCTAAATCTCCTTCTTCTGAAATCCCCCTTTCTACCCTTGAAAGTAAAGGTGCTTTCCTATACTTTGCCTCTTTGCTTCTATTTTCTGCGCTGGTCTTCTCGACTGGTATATCTTGAAGCTCCACTTCTTGAACTTCACCTTCTGTGTTAGCTCTCTTAGTTAGCATTTCTATGGAGCTAATCTCTCTACCTCCAGCACTGGCTTGCTTGCTTGTTTTACAATCTCTGGTCTTTACACTAAATTCCAGCAGGGAAGCAGATGCTTTTAATATGCTGCCCCCTTCTGACTCAGGCTTAGTTTTCTCAGCTCTGTCTAAAATCTTCTCATCTGCCTGATACCCATTCTGCTTGCCTCTCACCAGATTTAAGTTTGGGTAAATCGAAGGTTTCTCACTAACTTGCTGGTTTTGTTTCTTTGCTTTCTCTACCTTTGAAAGCAAGGGAGCTTCCTGGGATTGTTTAATAGCCTTACTTTGGGTCTTGGAATTCGCTTCTTCTAGTGCTTTATCACCTTTAAACCTTCGGAGGCTGCAGTCCCCCAAGGGCATATAGGCTTTGGCCATGAGGTTTCTTTTATAATTGGAGGTCTTGCATAACAAATCAACCCATTTCTTCAGTTTTTTCTAAAGTTTCATCACCTAACTCATGCTCATTCAAAGACATTTTAGCTTGCTTTTCTAAATTTGGATAGACACAAGACTTCTCACATGACTGATAATCCTCATTCTCTTCCTCCTGCAAAGGTACCTGCAAAGGTACTAAGACCATCTTAACTTGAACCCACAGAGACCATGTCTCCACGGGGTTATTCTCTCCATCGCTGTATGCTTTCTTAAAGTTTACAATGTCTTTCTCCCAGGTCTCTATGTCAAAAGTTCCTTCCTCTGGGAACCATGGATTATACCTTTTTACTACTTTTAGAAACCATTGCATCTTTTTCTTCCTTACTTTTTATACACTGCCTTTTCAGTAAGTGGATGAGAATAATACCATACATTTCAGGTTTACTTTTCCCTTGTCGCATTGTCTTCTTTAAAATATCCATTCACTATTTCCACTACTTATCTGCTAATCCCCACACCGAATCCTCACTTCACACAATTTTCCAATTCACTCTACATTCTGGTGGGGCCATACAATTGTTATATGGGATATAACTCAAAAGAGTTTTATTCCTAACTGCCCCATGTTGGGTGCCATTTGTGGGGGAAATGGCCAGCCCCCACAATTAATCATAGGTTCAATAGGTGCAATTGTACGATTAAGATATATAAAGATTATAGTAAAGTCATAGAAAGAATGAGAGATAGAAGAGAGAGTCAAATTAAAAAGTCAGACACATTCCATGGTAGCATGCTCACTTCCTGGATGGCCATGATCTTACCAGCCAGGTCCGAGCACAGCATGGGCTGAGGTGAGTTGGGGTGGAGCAGAAGCCGGAGAGAGCTAGCCGGGGGCCCATTTATTGCTAACCAATGCTTATATCTCTTTAGGGGGGCATGATTACAGGTAACTACACATCACAGGAAGGGAATACAAGCAATAGGAGGGGGATATACAAAAGTGTAACAGGAAAGGGATGAGCTAGGGGTGTACACATGATAGGAAGGGGTGGAACTAGAGGTATACAGTATATTGGGAGAGACAACTTGGGGGAAATCCTTCTGCTTCCCACACTAGCACAAAGATAAGGAGCCAAAAATCTGCTTTGTGGTGTCAGACAAGGATTTTCAGGGAAATCTTTAAGATGACACTTAAACCATAAGTCAGTATTGTTAGGCCCATGCAAGAGCAGTTTCCTATGAAAATGCAAGGCTGTGGGAGATTTGAGAATTAGAAGATAGGATACTCAGTACCTTGGGGTTGGTTTTGATCACTATGACCCTATAGGACAGAGGGGAACTATCCTTTGGATTTCCCGAGACTTTCATTCTTTACAGGAGCAGGTAGCTTCAATTTTCTCTCTTAAATTGACTGGTGGATTCGAACAGTTGACTTTCAGAGTTCAGCTCTGGGAGGGTTGAATTGGATACCTGAAGGAGGTGTGGAGTCGGCGTACACAGACGAGACAGACACGAGAGCTGTTCTGGTGGAAGCAATCTCTGCCAAGTTCTCCCAAACAGCTTTATTTATACCATAAGAAGTTTTGCAGACCACTGCATAAAAACAATGCCTTATGATTAACTCCAAAGTCACCCTTATTGTTTCCACTAAAACCTAATAAAAGACCGTTATAACGTCTGTACTTTTTTTCTATCATTTTCTGTCCTCTTCCTGGTTCTTTCTTTCTGTACTGCTTGTCTTATAAGTTACATGCTATTCTTGATTGAGGTGTTCAGAAAATTTGGTTAGACTCATATCCTACTCACTGCCCTATTTTTTGCTCACAATGTCCCTTTTCTTGTTGACTAACTTAACACAATGAAACTACCTCATGTACTACATGAGGTAGCCTAATATCTACAAGCAGAGTTAAATGCTTCTCAAATGTTTTCCTTTACAAACTCTCCCATGGTAACTGCTCCATTGTTTACCTATGTCTCTTTTATTTTTTGTACCCCTGAGGCACCGTGGGGAGCCAAACCGTCTGATTCTTTGCCAAAGACTTAATGTTTCCCCTTTTACGTGTTTTCTATTAGTGTTAACCATTCTCCCTCTTTCTATGTGTAAACCCCTGTCCAAGGTAAAGGGTCATCAGTTGGGGGAGGCAGTCTATAAGGTCCTCTATATTGGGGAAGCCAAAAGAGTCTCCCACTACCTAATCTGAATGGAATCCAGGGTTTTTTGGTGGGTTTCATTTTCTCCTCTGACCTCAACTTTGGGGTTTCTTCCTCACTCAATTCCCACATATCCTCCTCAGAATTCCCAAAGATGTCTCACTGTCTAAGCCTCTCCAATGCCTCAGTTAAGGAAAGGCCCATCATATTGAAGCAAGTTTTAGATTTGGTTTCATTTGTACTTCTCAAGACTGCCCTCGCATCCACTCCAGGTGGGCTTAACATGACAATGCAGAAAATTCTCAAGAATGTCAATTTAACAACAGCAAATATTTGAGGGATGTTGGAAAACCTCCCTGGGAAGCTCTGCTCTGCAGATGCTTCCACCAGGATGTAGCTTTGCTAGACACTATGGCTGGGATGGCTCCCAACAGTTGACCTTGAGGTTAGCAGCTCAATTTGTAGGGCTCCCTTCTGGAAAATAGGTCCAAACTCAAACCAAACGCACCCTATAGGACATGGTAGAATTGCCCCTGTGAGTTTCTGAGACTGTAACTCTTGATGGGACTAGAAATCCCCCTTCTTTCTCCTGAGGAGTGGCTGGTGGTTTCAAACTGCAGGCTTTACGATCCACAGCCCCCTGTGTAACCACTGCACCACCAGAGCTCCTGTTGGAAGATAGTAAGACAAGAACCTGTATGTAGAGTTTAAGAAAAGCACACACTAGGTGGAGGTGGGAGGATGAGCAGCAGGAAGCAAACCCAGAGCAAGGCAAGTGCTCCAAGCATTCCTGAGGTGTGAGCACCATGGTGATGCTGACGCCATAACATGGTCCTCTCAGCGTCTGATGGCTCCCATTGCATGGTTAACCAGGCTGTTTTCATCCATGTGTGTGATCTCACTTAAAGCTCTTAGCTAATGCCTTAGATTACAGGATGGGGAGGATTTGGTTTCCCTTTCAGGACTGAGATACCTCGGATAGAATAAGTGATCTACCTGATGTGAGCCTTTCCTTCTTTCCTTTACTTCCCTCAATTCATCCTGTAAGGATTCACAACAAGGAACTTACTGCAAAATTAGTATCTTGATTGGAATTGAAATAAAAAGTTTTTCTCTCAGAATTTTTTCAGCAGATAATTCAATACTCTGAAGAATACCGAGACCGGCCACTGCTGAAACTCTGGGTTGGGCCAATTCCAATGGTAGCCCTTTATCGCGCAGAAAATGTGGAGGTGAGCAAGTGGTAACTATGACCAGTGTTTTACTAGATATTGCATGGTGTAAGACTCTCATCAGAATAAACATAAGAAATGTGTCCTTTTTAGAAATTGAAATCCACTATTGAATATTCTTTAAATATTTTAGGCTCTTTAGGTGTCATAAAGGCTCTTAGATATAATATGCATTCTGGAGAGGATAATACTCCCAGATACAGGTACCTATCTATCATCTAGTCTTACTTGTTTTATTTGGAAAATCTGCAGAAGCATATAGCTTTATTAAGCCATAAACAGGTTTTTCTGAAAGGTAAACACGGATTATATGCCAAACATGGTTTAAGACTCCAGAAATGAGATTTATATGACATGACTTGGCACGGTAGTTCCAGCAGTTGGCTCACACCAGAAAGATTGTGAGGATAGGACAGGAGGAGCGTTTCTCCTCGTTGGAACCAACTCAGTGACAACAAACAGAACAGGAAGATAATGGAGACATGGGCGTTTCCCTTAAGTTGTCCAGGGTCCCATATTATAACCATTATAATGAAAGCAAATTAATTTTGCCTAAAGGAAAATACTCAAATAATATTGATGGGTCCCAAAACAAACAAACTCACTGCCATTGAGTCGATGCCAACTCACAGTGATCCGATAGGACAGGGTCGAACTATCCCTGTGAATTTCCAAAACTGTAACCCTGTCTTTCTCCAACAGAGTGGCTGGTGGTTTTGAACTGCTGACCTTGTAGTTAGCAGCCCAACTTGTAACCACGACACCACCAACTGTACTTCACTTTTATAACTCAGAGCATATTTTAACCAATGGCTTGAATTTCAAAGTATAATTGGCAATGTTCATAAAAGAGATTTCTCATGTTCTCTTCATTTTCATTATACCGTGACAGGAATAAATTCCTCTTTTCTGTGTGATTGAACAGTGGGGAAATTATCTTTTGGTATGTTAAGCCAATGATTTGGATCAGAGGGTGAAAATGAGATAAACAGAATTTCTCATTATGGAAAAAATTAAAAGCTGAATCTACTAAGGAGTAGTTCAGGGCCTGCCTTTCTTGCTCAATGTGTTAAAAATGTTGGAGTTTCTCCTGGACCGGAGTCTTAACCCTGAGAAGAAAGTGAGAGGACTAGACACAGTATTATAGCACCTGCTGTCCTGGGTTGAATCCGTTTGGTCCGTGTAGAGATTTGCCCAGCATAGGAAACTCAATCAAGCAAGATGTCATTTAGTGTTCTGTGCTCTATCCTAGATGCTCAACTCTCTCCTCCTTCCCGTGGACTCCAGTGGCCTACACTCATAGCCCCCAATAGAATTTGCATATTCTCAAAAAAAAGAAAAAAGAAAAACTCACTGCTACTGAATCAGTGCTCAGACCCACCCAGTAAGGCAGGGTAGAACCCTTCCTGTGAGGTTCATTCAAATGCTGATTTTCAACTCAGGCCTTTGTCTTGAGCTTCCCTCTTACTTTCCATTCATGACAACTGAAATCCGTCCAAAATCAACATTCCTGAAAATGAACTCCTAATTTCTATCCACTCAGATGTGATCAGCCTTCAGAATCACCTCCAACACTAATAGACTGTTTTCAGGTTGGTTCTGAGTTCAAAGAAGTACCTTGGATATCATTTTATGTTTAAACATCTTCCTTTTGTTCCCAAGGCTCAAGGACAGTTCACAAATATCAATTGCATTTTTTCTTTTAAGTGCAGGAATAAAACTTAATCTTGGTGAAAATAATGTCTTCAAATCCATAATGAAAATTGTATCTTAAAAGTAGTTATATCTTATAACTAAGTATTCTTATAACTAAGGTTTGTTGTTGTTTACTCATTTTCATGTCTGAATATCTCTCAGATTAATGTTTTGTTTCCTTTTTCTATTCCCAAGGTAATTTTAACTAGTTCAAAGCAAATTGACAAATCTTATATGTACAAGTTTCTAGAGCCATGGCTTGGCCAAGGACTTCTTACAAGGTAAGCCAGCATAAGTTTGAAATTAACTGTCTCTTGGAAGCAGTTAATTCCCTGTGTTTTCAGTAGAGTTGACACAGGTCATTTTCCTTGGCAAGACTGTGCTAATTTGAAATGAGAAAGAAGTTGGAAGGAGAGGTCTGGCTAACAGTGAAACTTTGATAGGGATTTTGAACAAGAAATCCAGGGTATTTTGTAATCTGCAGCCATCAGATTTAAAATTATTTAAAAAATAATAATTTTATTGGGGGTTCATATAGCTCTTATCACAATCCATCCATCCATTGTGTCAAACACGTTCATTGCCAGCATTATACAATGATTTGTTTTTAACCACTGTTCAGAATTCTGAAATTCTATATACGAGAGAAGTCTGAAGCAGAGTAATTCTGAAAATTCAAAGTTTGGGTAGTCAGAACCAGAGAAACATATTGAGCACAGTGAATTCAATCCTCCAACTGGCATCCTGAAATAGGACTCCATCCTCCAAGAGAAGGTCTGTCAAGAGAAAAGGCCACGCATTTGTAGGAAATGTGGAGAGCCCCAACACAGTGGCAATGGAAGTAGTATCCTGGAGCACATGAGTTATCATTCCTGTGGTTAGAAACTTGTTTATGAAGGTACTTCGCAAAGTTGATATTGAATTGAATAAACAGACAAATTTTGTTTCCCAACAGTAGCTCTATCAAAGTCAAGATCCTTTTGTAAGTGATGAGACCAGTCTGTCTCTAAGTATCTGAAGTTCCTGGTAATTCTTTGTTACATTATTAACTGAAAAATCATGGGTGCCCTTTAAAAACAATTTAAGATAAGGAAACAAAGAGTCAGAAGGAATCAAATCAGGACTGTAGGGTGGATGCCTAGTGGTTTTCCATGAAAACCTCACAATATCCCCTTTTGTTTTAATATGGGCAGACTAGAGAAACAAATCCAGAAACACATATATGTGTGAGAGAACTTTATATAAAAGAGCAATTGTACATTAAGAAAACAGCCCAATCTAGATCAAGTCTACAGGTCTGATATTGGCCCATATGTCAATACTAGTCCATAAATTCCTCTTTAGACTCATGCAGTCATGCAGGAAGATCACACGCCAGTGGGTGGAAGGTCTTGTGGATCCAAGGTGGTGGAAGCATCACAGTACTAGCGTGGGTCTCCACATGGCTCCTCCAGCTCCAGGGCTCCGGCTGCAATCAGCATAGCTCAATGTGACTTGTCAGCAGGGAGACCAAGCTGAAAGAGAATGTGTCTGGCCTCCAGTGAGCTATTTTTCTCCTTCCCACCTCAAAATTAGGTCATCAAGTTGACAGGAGATTATATAACTGCCACACCTTTGGTGAGAAAAATGTACAGGAGCTTCTTGTGGTGCAGAAGAATTATTTGTTGATGCTTTCACAAGTGTTTTTTCTGTTAAAGCTTTGGCTAGCTTTCTCAAACACTCTCACAATAAACAGATGTTACCATTTCTTTTGGCCCTCCTGAAAATAAACAAGCCAAATGCCTTGAGCATCCCCCAAATTTTGTCATGACCTTTGCTCTTGACCAGTCTGCTTTTGCTTTGGCTGGACCATTTCCATCACTTGGTAGCCATGGCTTTGATGATGCTGTGAATTCAGGATCATAAGAGTAATGCCATGATTCATATCCTGTTACTTTTTTTGAAGCATGCTTCAGGATCTTGATCTCACTTGTCTAAAATTTCCATGGAAAGTTCTATTTTGCCTGTAGTTGGTCAGAGTGCAACAGTTTTGGCATCCATCCAAAAGGCAGAAAGTTTACCAACTTTATTTTTCAGTCAGAATTATTTTAAAAGGACTGTTTGGGATGTCTATGGCGTTGGCTACTGTTTATACTGTTAATCATTGGTCCTCTTCAGCTACAGTACAGACAAGTTTTTCATTTTCCTCCCCAACTGACAGGGATGGTCTGCTGCAGTGGGCTTCTTTAGCATGTTTCATCCCGTCTGAAAACGAGTTATCCCTTTGTAAAGTGATAATTTGGGCAGTGTCCTTATAAACCTTTTGTAAAGCATTAATTTCACCATTCTTCCACACAATCATCATCATAAATTTGATGCTTGCTCTTGCTCCAATTTTAGCTGACTGCGTGTTGTTCTGCAAGGGGCTTTTTAAACTGTCTTATCCTTCGCAGTGCTGCAAACTAGGTCCAATTCACACATGTCACAACACATTACTATGAGTTTGTTTGGGTGAAAAAATATTTTATTTTATGATAAACATTTTTTCATGAACTTTTAGAAGACCCTTTGTACATAAGATATTTAGTTGTTATGAGTGCTATTTTAAATATTGGTACTGTGAGACAAAACTCCGAAGACCCACAATCTGTCATTGTGTATGAATAGTGGACATATGTTCTTTTGTCATTCTGGGCAAAGCATCAGGTACTGTGCAGATTAAGTTCGTTTAGACGAGTCTTGTTGACTTGGCTATGTTTATACATTGTTTATCATGGATGTGGCTGCAGCTCTTGCTGATTTTTTATAAACTTATACCCATGTATTGGATTTCTAGTACCGGGAACAAATGGCGTGCCAGGAGAAAAATGTTGACTCCCACTTTCCATTTTACAATTTTGGAAGATTTCTTAGATGTTATGAATGAGCACGCAAATGTATTGGTTAAAAAGCTGGAAAAACATGTTAACCAGGAAGCATTTAACTGCTTTTTTTATATCACTCTCTGTGCCTTGGATATAATCTGTGGTAAGTCTCAGTACTTTGTTTCTAATGTGCTGGTGTAAAGATGAAATTGACCAAGTGAAAAATAACATTCCATTTGGAAGGCAAATAAGTAGAGCCTGCCTTCTTCGGGGTGATCCCACTGTTAATGTGGAAGACTGAGACGCAGTAGTCATTTCTAGGGGTAGGGCCAGAGCCAAGGGCCAGGGAAACCAAAGGGAAAAAGGAATAGAAATGGGAAGTAAGAAGAACTAGGGAAGGAAGGTATGAGAGAAGAGACAAAAAGGGGGAGACAATTATATATATATATATATATATATATGTGTGTGTGTGTGTGTGTGTATATATATATATATAATGGATTTTTGTCTTTTTAAAAGCATCTGCCACTGCAAAATAAATATCAAGTATGAGCATGTATCAAGTGTATGTCTCCCACCCATATTTTATAGAAACAGCTATGGGGAAGAACATCGGTGCTCAAAACAATGGTGATTCTGACTATGTCCGTGCTGTTTATAGGTAAATGAAGTCCTTCCAGTTATTTTTTAAGTTGTTAGTGATCTGGGCTTTGAAAAGTTACTGCTGGTAATTTTTGTCTGGGTTGTCTTTTGTTTTATTACTTCAAATGAAGCATCATACTAAAAATTAGCTTTGTCAATTAGGCATGCATTTTAACAGTAGAAGAATGGTTATGTAGATTACAGACCATCCAGAGTGGAATGCATTATAAGATGATTATTTAGTGATATATTGAGAGGTAGTTACATTATAAAGCTGAGCGATGAAATGAAGATATAAACAATGTATTATAGCATGATAAACACCAAGTATAAAAAGTATACACAAAAATGGGAAGATATTATGCCAAAGTGTTAGCTCTGATCGTTTGTGTATACATTTCCTTTTTAAAAATGTGTTTAGTTTGTTCTTTTTTCGACTTTTCCATATTTAAATAAAAATAAATAAACAAATAAAACCCATTGTCATTGAGGTGATTCTGACTCATCACAACCCTGTAGTACAGAGTAGCCCTGCCCCTGTGGGCTTCCAACACTGTAACTCCCTGTAGGAGGAGAGCACCTCTTCTCTCCTGAAGAACAACTGGCGGTTCCCAACTTTTTACCTTGTGGCTAGCAGCCCAATGTGTGGCCATATTGTTTTTGTAGTTTAAGCCATCATTTTACCTTAACAATTGGTTGTAGTTATGCAGCATCATGCATCCCATCTTTGAGACCTTGGTACATTTTACTTTATTTAAATATGTACTTACCGAGCGTCGATAATATGCCAATAATTGCACAAGGCGTTTACTAATTGTCGTTGTTAGTTGCCATCAAGGTGATTTGGACTCAGGCGGACCCCGGATGCACACCAGAGCGCTGCTCCAGAGGGTTTTCAAGGCTGTGACCTTGTGGAAGTAGATTACTAGGCTTGACTTTCCAAGATACCTCTTGGTTGGTCCAAATCACTAACCTTTCAGCCAGTAGTTGAGTTCATTACTTTGTCTGCCATACAGGTAGTCCACTACTTATGTGTTTGTGGGCATTTGGGCCAGTTCAACTCACAGCAATCCTACAGGACAGAGTGGTACTGCCCTAGGTTGTAAATCTTTGTGGGAGCCATTCACCAGGTTTCTTCTGTCCCAGAGCTGCTGGTGAATTTGAACTGCCAACCTTTCCATTAGAAGTTGAGCATTTAACCCTTGAATTATCAGAACTCCTTCAGCTAGTTATATAAGTGGCACAAAAAGCAGACAGAGCCGCATGAGAAACAGGCACTGGACAGATAAATATAAACTTATAAATTGCAATAATTGCTTAGAAAAAAAAATAATAATAATTGCTTAGAAAGATCAGATCAAGTTGGTATTAGAGAGGAATTCAGGATTAAGTCCTATAGAGTGTGTGTTCTGGGAAGGCCTTTCTAAAGAACTGGCCTCTATGCTAATGCTGACAGAGGAGATAATGCAGTGTTTTTTTCTGCTCCATCACGAAATGACGAGGAAGAAACTCAGGAAGCCATGTTGTTGCTGTGCATCTTGGAATCACTTTGAATTCCTAGCCACCCAACCACTCCGTAGGATTCCCAAGGTGCAAATATCTACAGAAACTAACTACCCTACTTCCTCCTATGGGAGAGCTGTTAAATTTGAACCACTTACTTTTTGGTTAGCAGCCAAGCTGTCTCAACACTGTATAATCCGCTCCCAAGGATGAGTGTGTGACAGGTGTGTATTCAATGAACTCTTCCTGTATAAGAGTTCAGCCAGTTGTTTCTTTTCATTCAAAGAGTGTGACCAAAAACAAATGAGTAGACATTAAAAATAACTATATAAGTCAATCACAAAAAGATAAAAGTGGTGTCATTTCATAATAGTATGATATACCTAGCTAGAATAGGCAAATGTATGTACAGAAATCAGAGCTTAATAGTGGTTAGGGATAGGACGGGATGGGGAAAAGTGGGGGGTCATTGGTTAGGTAGCATGGAGCTTTTGTTAAAGAAGATGAAAAATTTGATGTTGGATATTGGTTATGGTTACACTAAGATTAATGTCATTGGTCTTATTGAATTGTACACATGAAAAATGTTGAATTGCCTTGTTATCTGTATTTTTACCACCACAACAAAAAAGTGAATTTCAACTCAACCTGTGATACAAGAGCCCTGGAAATTCTGGAAGGTGATGTTGAAGAAACGGAAACAGAGATCAGATGGTCACCTAGTAAGGTTGCTTTAAAAAGGATTCTTCATTATTCAAAAGATTTTTTTTAAACTTCATTGGATAATTAATAGCACAAGCATCATTGCTAAGCATAAAGCATGGAGTTCCAAATAGCCTTTAAAACTCATTCCATCATCATTCCAGTACTGGAGTCAGACACCAAATAGTAGATGTTAAAAAAAAAAGACAATTATTTTTATCATAGCTACTGTATTTTTACCCTATTTATAGAATGAGTGACATCACACTCCGAAGAATGAAGATGCCCTGGTTTTGGCCTGATCTTTGGTACCTACTGTTTAAAGAAGGACGGGAACACAGAAGGAGCCTTAAGATCCTACATAGTTTTACCAATAATGTAAGCCTGTGATTCTTATGTTTTGTCAACATACTCTGTTTATGACTATAGAGCTTGTGTCCCATAAAAGAAATGTTTGTTTGAATAATAATGGTAAAAACAGGATTACATTTAAATTATTTATTCAACAAATATTAATTGAACCCTTACTGTGTGCCAAAAACCTACTCACGTTTTAAAGTATCGTAATGAGTAAGAAACATTGTTTTGACCCTAAAGAGGTTCATCTAGTAGAGGAATTTATCTATAATAAATAAATGAAAAATATAACATTAACTATAATGATAACAAGCAGAGTGCTGTGTTATAAAAAGTGAGGTGATAGGGACCTGCATTATAAGAACGTCCTAAAATACATGGTTTAAATAGTAGTTTTCAAAGACAGAGAGCATCTTAACTTGAAAAACATTAAAATTTTAAGGAAATTACCATTTCATTACCCATAGAAAAACACAAGGAAATAGTACAGTCTCATATAGGATGCCCATTTCTGAATTAAAGGTGTTTCATGAAAAAGCAAGATTTAGTTGAAAAGATGTCTGTGACAGTTAGGTTTATTGTGGCATCCTGGCCAGCAGGAACATGTGGGATTAATCAGGTCGCAGTTTGATTGGAGGGAAAAGCGATAAATGGCTCTGCAAGGCCCGCCCCACTCTCTCTTGCTTCTCATGAGCAGAACGTGCTGCTGCTTTAGCTAGTTCTCAGCCTGTGAGCTACACTACCTGTGGGCCAAGCCAACCCATGGACCGTGCTGCTAGAGCTTGAGGCTCCTTTGAGACCTGCTTCCCCACACTGCTGGTGTGTACATCACTTGAGCCTGAGGCTGGTTGATCCTGTCGCCTTGCATTGCTTGCTTTCAATATCCCATCAGAGCCTGCTTTGCTAACCCCCTGAGCTATGACTGTTGGTGACCCACCCTGATGTTTGCTGCCTATAGGCAGACTGCTTGCCTTGCCTAAGGGAAAACTATGCTGCCTGCTTCTTTTGACCTAGGACCCAGCAGCCCACATGAGCTGAAGGACTTCCAGTATATTCACTGTTACATGGAAGTGAGTTGAACTGAACCCTCTGTACTGCTAAGTGGACTAATTAGCTGTTTAATTCCTTTTTGCTGAATAAACCTATCCTCTTTAAAAAAAA